TAATAGTATCTCACGACCAAAGCCACCAACCTACGCTCGGCCGAAGCCAATATATGAGTATCATCGCCCTTAGGCCGAACAGTGACCACTAACAAAAACATTGAATATATATTCTTTCCAACATAAGTATATATATCTCAAAGACATCTTCATAGCATATAGTCATCCATCATATATACTATAAAAAAGTGTAAAAACATGTTCATAAGCAGTATATAGTCATCCATCATATATACTACAAAGAACACAAGTTTGATAATATATGGTATTCCAAAATATTCTCCGTAAGCATGATAAACATCAAGTGTAAATCTAATTTACTCATAAAACGTAACCATTAAACCATATTTTTCATGTATGCATTTCTACTAATAAAACATGCATTTTAGAAGGGGTCAACGGTCAGCGTTAACTTGAAGTCAACAATCAATGGGTCTGTCAACGGGTTCGGGTCAAACAGGTTTGGGCCTAGGCTTCTGAGGGTTTGGGCCTAAAGGTTCAAAGGGTTTTGGGTTTTGGGCTAAAAGGTTTTGGGCTTTGGGCTTGAAGGTAATTGGTTTGGGCCAGCCAAAGGGCCAAGTTCCATGGCCCAAAGGATCTAGGTTAGGCTACTGGGTTTTGGGCTGGGTTCAAAGGGTCACGGATATGTGTTTCAGGGTTTGGATTGGGGTGACCCGGTTTCAGGCCAATGGGTTGTCCAGTTTTCTGGGCACATTTCAAATACCCATAACATTTTCGTTACTCAACCAAATCAAGTGATCCAAACATGAAAGTTGTAGTACTCAACGAGACAAAGAGAATGATACCTTGCACGATAGCTAACTCGTCATAGTTTGGCTAGAAATTGCCTTAAAAGTGGCGGAGGTCACTTGAAACTGGTAAACTTTAAAAGGTTATAACTTCCTCATTTCTTAGCCAAATCGGACCCATAATATGTTAAAACGAAGCTTAAGACGAGAGGAATAAAATTATACCTATTTGGAGCCAAAAAGTGGCCAAAGATGGTAGGAAAATGCCTGCAAACACATGAGTCTCGCCGAAAAATTGCAAAATAGTCCCCTCGCCGTTTATGGGTTTGTGTGGTTCACATAGAGGGTGAGGGATGGTGGTGTGCAGCTGATGTTGTTGTTGTTATATTTGTGTGTTTTCCTAGAGAGAAAGATTAGAGAGAATGCACAGGAGAGTTAAGAGAAAGAGAGAAAGTGAGGGAGAGAATGAAAGAGAGAGAGAAAGGTTGAGTGTTTTGGGCCGGGGAACAAAACAGGGGTGGGTGTCACGCCCCAATCTCGACATGTGTCCAGGATCGACACGTGACCTCACCAAGTATCAGTATATCTAACATACCCCGCCTTCGGGATATAGGCAAATCATAACTCAAGAATCAAATCGCCTATTAATTTTTCATATTCTTTATGGCTACATCTAACCTCCTAGTTAGACTGCCTACGTACCCTAAACAAGGATCAAGTCATTCGTAGTTCGTTATTCCCTACACTCGAACATTCATCGCATATATCACTACGACTCAACATAATACCATAATTCAAGCATGTAGCACCTCAAGGAACATTCAACGAAGCACAATAATATTCTCTAGTCATCTTGCCATTCACCCACACATATGTATTCCAACACCATCCAATAATCACAACAATCAATAACACATACAATACCCCGAAATGCAGGGCTAAAGCGACGCAATTCAACCGAAGCTTACATCTCTGAAGTTGAAATCAATCCAAGGAACCAACAAGTCAAATTATGTGATTTTGGACCACTCAATGAAATCCATCAACATCGGGTTCCGGACCACTCAATGGAACCAAAACACCAAGGGGGATTCTAGACCACTTAACGGAATCGCAGAGTAGAGGGATTCCGGACCTCTCAACGGAATCCGAGTGGATACGATTCTAGACCACTCAACCAAATCTTAGAGTAAAATGGATATCAGACCACTCAATAAAATCCAGGGCAGGATACAATTCCGAACCACTCAACGAAATCGTGGATCACGAGGGATTCTGGACCACTCAACGAGATCCAAACAGAGCAAAGAACCAGACCACTCAACGGAACCCCAGCAGATACCTAGTTCCTGATCACTCAACGAAACCGAGCGAAAGGCCAAAGGACATATCAACAGCTCGAAGAAACAAAACATGAACCAAGTGCTCAATTTACAAAGGCTCAATGAAATGAAACAAAGCACAAGTACTAAATTAAAACGGGTCAACAAAGCAAGAAATGAAACAATGAAATGGGTTATGAAACAAGCTTTGAAACAACAAACCCCATGATAATGGGTTAACGGTCCACTACTAGCCCTCATATTTCATCACATCATACCAATCATGTAAATCAAATCTTATTTCAAGTATGCACGTCAAATTACTTTTCATCGAACAATTCAACAAGCACTTCAAATGACATATCACAGATATCATCAATACACAATTCAAATCACGTTTAATAAACATAGATCAATGACTAATCACATTTCAATAGATTCACATTATAAAATCAAGTGATATCCACATAGGATATTAACTATGAAACCAGGATAATAACTATATCGATATCACATATATTAAAGTCCCTCATTGAGTCTCTAGTAATACTAATTTTAGTAATTTAACGATTCGAAACATGTTGACCAAAAGTCAACTCTTCATCAATAGTAGGGTCCACAACCCTAGCTATTCAATTCGGAAGACCACACATCACATTTCATATCCATAACTTCCTAAGTTTCTCATTATGTTCATAGAACAACATACTAAAATTTCATTACGATCCATCGGTTGGAACTCCACCAATCGCTAAGATTAAGTGGCGGTCAACGTTTAGTTTTCCAAACTTAGAAATCCAATTCAGGAAGATCAATACGTTGGATTCCCGATCCGTAAGTTTCCATGGTCCTCAAATATTATGTACTATAACATATCAAAGTTTGGTGTCGATCCAACAGTTGGATCGTCAATTCATATAATAATCAAGTCACGGCCAACTAGGCGGTCAAGTACAAAACTATGTTAAAACATCGAAATTTCACTAAATAGATGTCAAATATGGAATCGGGGCATCAAAATTAGCCTAGGATGATCAGGTGGGGTCTCGGCCCATGCATCGCCACAGGTGGCGGTCGGGCGCCCTGACTGGCCAAAAAATCTAACTAATTCCAAAAATGACCAAATTTTATAGAAATGTAGAGTTCAATGAAAGGAACAACTTTCATACCTGGGTCGAAGTCCAATTCGGCCGGAAAACACCTCAAATCGCCCTTGATCTGTCGGAAACCTTAAAATGGTGAGCTTTGATTCGTCACATCCGCAGCTCTGCCGCTCCCAAACTTGTTTGGGCTTTGTTCCTGGGCTCAATAAGATGCTAAAGGTGGTGGTGATTGAAGGTAAATGTTTCAGAAATGGTGGATCAATGGCAACGCACCATCGCACCCAGCACTGTGGGTTTCACCAAACCAAGGCCAATTCTCATCCATTTTGGAGTGGAAACTGAAGAGGGAAGGCCAGTGTGAAGTTTCTAGGTGATGGCTCGATGAAAATCGTCGGAAAATGATGGAAAACCACAGGATATTGCTTCGGGTCAAAACCAGGTCGTGGTGGGGTAAACGAGTCGCACGGTCACCTAGTTTCCCCATTCTCTCCTTTCTTTCCTTTCCTCTCTCCTCCTTCGTCCGTTCTCTTTCTCCCTCTTTTCTGATTGGCCCCCTTAATCCCTCATTTCTCTTCTTTTAATCCCAGTCATCCATCTCTTTCCTTTCTCCATCACAATCATCCACGTGACACTTCCAGATTTTCTGGAGCATTCCAGATTATGGTCAAATGACCATTTCACTCATAACTTAACTCGCTCATAACTTATTCGTTATAACTCCGTTTCACTAACGGTTTATGCCTACGCGTTCGTGAGATCGAGCTCTATTCAAAAATATAAATTGTGACCTCAAAAGGCCTACGGGTTTTAAATAACTAATTTCAAAACTTCAAACTTCGTAACTAGTTTAATTAAAATCTAAATTCAAATAAATTAATATAAATTCCTGAAAAAATAATATAAAATCTCAATAATACAAATACGTATATTATAACAATGACATCCAGGAACGAGATTTCACAGTGCGCCCCTTTTGGGCACACCTATTAAGACCCACAAACAATATTTTAAACAAATATCTCATAACCTAAATGAATTTACCACAAGACCCTTATGTTCCGAAAAAATCTGGGCCGAGTTGTTACATGCAATTACATTTATACCAAACGACCACACTCCACTATAGACACCACCATAATACCCTTACAATTGTTAATACCATCACCATCGCCAGCCCGACTACTACTGCCATCGCTACCATTTTCATCGCCACCACCTATGACAGCAACTACCAACATTACACCATTGTCGCCATCACCACCACCACCATTGCGACTGCCAACTATTTTGCAATTGTCACCATTACTGCTGTCACTAATGCTACCTCTACACCCCAACCACCACACCCTATTATTAGCACCACCACACCACCCTCTCCAACTACTATCCTCAACACCACTATCATTGCCAACCCCACCCCCACACTATGTCTATTTTTGTTACTACATACAACTTCGCCCATGAGCGGTAGGTCTTGGGTTCGAGACTTGGGAGCAGCCTCTCCATAAATGGGGGTAAGGCTAGCCGACATTCACCTCTCCCAGACCCTGCGTAAAGCGGGAGCCTTGTGCACTGGGTACGACCTTTTTTATACAATTATATCACTTTTACATTGAAATTTACCAAATACTTTTACATCACTTTTTTTACTCACAACACTTTTAAAAGTAAAATTTATCAAAAACCCAACTGCTTTAATTTATAGCTAATTATTCTTAAACACAGCAAAAGCAGTATTTTTTAAAAACACAGCAATTCCAAACTGAATGTAAATTTGAAAAGATTAAGAGAATGGAATTTAGGTGAGAGAAAATAAGTTTCATAGGAACTCAGTTGTAAATGGCAAAAGTACATACATTATAAGAGTTGCATTTTGTACAATCAAGCCATGACAGCCAATATATCAATCAATCAATCAATCAACCTGTCTCAAGATCTGAGTTTGTAATAATGGTGTTTAATCCGTTTCAAGCATCTAGATGAACAAGTACAAAACCATTAAGGGGAAGCACCAAGACGAATCTCTAACCACAACTAATTCTTTCTACTGCAACAGACCGACGATATTCTGTCGAGCAGCCCCACTGCTAGATCTTGACCCCATACTGGCAATCGTTGGACCCTCCACTGTTATATATACAAAAGAAATTAAAGAACCAAAATTGTTATAGTTAATTTTTATTCAAGCAGAGAAAAGCAAAAGTAGTTAATTCAAATTATCGTATATTGCTATTAATGTAAGTAATATATTAGTTACCACACTTACCAGTAGTACTGGGAGCAAGACTGCTGGCAGTTTTAGTAGAGTTGCCTTCCAATTGATAGAAAGCTTGAGCTTCTGGTGATTTAGGATCCAAATGCAGAAGTTCTGCGCGCATTCAGTAATTCCATGCCAACCAGAAAATTAAGCAGAAAAAATAGCGTGTCAAAATTAGAATACTACTGCAAAATGGTATGTATGTATGTATATAAAACTCGAAATACTTATGTACGTACGTACCGGGACACTTGGAGACATTGGCAGGGGCCTTGCAAACAGCAGGCAGACCTAAAGCAAGCGTTACATTCATCTGTAGACCGAGTTCAGGATCATTGCGATCTTTAATGATAACACAAAGGCACTTCTTATTGTTGTTGACCACTTGTTTGAAACCAGTGCAACAGTCTGGTGTAGGAGCCTTGGCTTGACCTCCAACGTAAGGCGGACACGTGGCCATCCCTACTAACTGCTGTGTACATTCCTCTCTGTCTTTTTGCTGAATCTGCTGTTGCAAAGCTTGCCGTATAACTTGATGTCATAATTAACAGGACTAGGACCAAGTAGGCAAGAGATTTTTTAGTGTGATCGTCACACGATGTAGTACATCATGTGTCCTTATATAAATTATGGATTATGTGTGTTAAAATGTTAATTACTTAAAAATTAAAATTTTTCATCACTTGCATAAAAACAAGTGATGTACTATCCATATTTCCATCACAACTAAAAATTTCTCAAAGTAGACAAACCCTAATGCCATTTTCTGAACTGAAATTAGTAAAGGATAATATTTCAGTACAAGGTTGAAGAGAGAGAGAGAGAGAGAGAGAGAGAGGCCCCTTGTTAATTTATAAGAGAAATGAAAGTGGTAGCTAGAGTGTATTGGTGGACTAGTGGTGGTGTGGCCTTGTTGGTTTTTTGGATCGACGGGTTCGTGGGGTCCCACTCTAACAATACGATATTATATTAGATTTTTGGATCGGCAGGTTTGCGAGGTTTTACTTTAACAACACTGATACTGTTATAACTTTATTACGTGCCAAATCTATCAAGTGTTGAGTTTTATCACAAAAAATATCAGTATTAGTTAAAGTGAGGTAATCATATTTAAATCTTATTATTTTCTTTTCACCCACCAATGTAGGATTCCAACAGACCTTTGGGTTCATCCAAGAGGCATTTGGGCTCATTCTTTCCAATGGCCACTTCCATTTCATAATTTTCTTTCAAGGCTATTTTTCAGCACTGATGCCACCATGACATAGTTCAACCATATTGTCGACATCATGCACAGCACAACACATCTTATTTCATTAAAATAAAATAATAAAATAAAAAAGACTTGACAGGGTTTGTGGTGGTGATACACACACTTTTTTTTTTTTTACACTCATGTTTTATCTTGTGTATTGTTTTTTTGTTTGATTTATTGTGGTGATACACACTTTTTTTTTTTACACTCATGTTTTATCTTGTGTATTGTTTTTTTGTTTGATTTATTTCATCTAATGGGAACACAAATAATAATAAATATTGTGAGGCTAAAAATAGTACAAAAACTTTTTTTCTCAAAGTGTACTTAGTTAGGGCTAGTTTGATATCTAGTTCACTTTCAGTTTCTAGTTTTAATATTTTTGTGCTTAAGATATGAAAACAATATATAGAAAGAAAAAAATATGGTGAAGAAGGATGGTGATAGGAAGGAGAAGAAACAAAGAAGGAGAAATGAATCTTAAAACTTAAAACAACACATAAAATGATTTTGGTTTTCATTTTGTGTGTCTCTCTTACATTATGTTTAGATGAGGGAAATAAACTTTGAAATTTGGGTAAAAGTCAGAATTTATAAATTGGCATGCACAAATTCCTTTGTTTGGATTCATAATTATAGAAACTTAGAATTTCTACATTGAAAAAAAACTTGAAATTTGGGATCTCTAATTCCCAAGTTTAAATTCCATGTAAATAGGTGTCATTTCTCAATTTCTATGATTGAGAGTTTAAAAATAACAAATTTCATATTCAATTCCATTGTTATTTTAGGTTAACCAAACAAGAAAATTCACAAATTTTAGAAAATCAAATCCCGTCATTTCAATTTCTGACACACCCCGACCGAGGTCAAGGCATGCTGGCCGTCACGTGAGAGTGACGTAGCCATGTGCACAGTGCGGAAGCGATAAAGACAGCAATTATACGAATAATTAAAAACCATATTTCTATAGTGCACTACTAAACAGAAAGTAATAGGAGTTAGTTACAACTGTGAACACTCATAATCAGAGCATAAAGTCTAGGTGCAGTCCAGTAAGACAAGTACTAGTTGTACAATACCAAGAATGTCCTACTATTATTCAAATAGATCAGAACAACCGATGTCCTTGAGCCACCAATAGCAAGCTTACTTAAAACCTGGAGGGGCGCAAAACAGAAAACGTGAGTGGGCAAAAACAAATGTTTTACAAAATCATTTCATTTATCAATATACTAACCCCTCGCTGTAAAACATGTATAATTTTCCCAGAATCAAGATATAAGCATATATATATATATATATATATATATATATATATATATATATATATATATGAAATCATATCAATTCAGTTCATGCATCACATAATCATATTCATAGGTATATATGCCATGCCAAGATATAATAGAGTAAACAATTCAGGTAAGAATAATTTCATAGAATTGTGATATGTTAGCCGGAACTCATGTGGTAGTCTATATGGCTGAATTCATAACTCAGACTCAATCTAGCCGGAGTCACTACTATGACCTATACGGCAATATACTGCACATAAGTCGGAACCATTGAAAATGGTCTGTACAACAAGATTGGGTGAAATATAATTATGCTCAATTCTATTCTCTCATAATAGCCAGGCGATAATCGCTAATCACCTACGAGTCGGAACCATAATAAGGTCTGTACGACAAGACTGTGCACTTAAGTTGGATCCAATATGAGCATATAGTGCGGGAGGTGACGTAAATAAACAGGCCTGTATTTCATTTATCTGGCTAATTCACAATCACCCTAGGTGCAGTTTTATGAGCTCAACATTACTTAATCACATATCACATATCACATCATCGATGATTCACACAACCAAACATAACTTATCTGAACTCACATGTGCCTCCACAGCACCAAATATATATATATATATATATATATATATATATATATATGCAACCATGCAATGCATATTCAAAATATAGAAGCATTTGGCATATTATTTCAAAGCATACTTTCTTTAAAATGCATTTCTGGGAAATATATCAAGTAAATAAATATATACTGAAAACAAAAGCCCACTCACTGATATGTCGACGAGTCGTAACCCCCGAGTCCCCCGTGGATACGCTCTTCCTCGGAATAAGTCTCATCTATATGCGAATTAACTATAAAAACGTTATTTTAAAACACATATACAAAACTAGCTAATAACTTCTCATGCATTGCTCAATTTGGGTATATGAATATACCACAGTGATCTACACAACTTCAGGATCATCCCCATATTTTTAGAAATATTTTTGGACCTCCCACGCGCTGCAAGGGCACGGCAAACTCACTAATCTCGCTCGTTTCTCAACCATTTTTCATGCAATTGGTACCAAAATGAAGCTAATAACATGTAGAATCACGTTATACCTATTTGAACCCTCAGATTCCACGAAATCACATTGGAGAAAGCTCGAAAATTCGGTGACCTCTGCAACTCTTCGAACCTAAGCTTTCCAACGTCCAATTTTCACCAACGATCCACTCCGAGCCTCCTTAGGACCTCCTAAAGCTCCCTATGAGCTTAAAAACTCCTAAAAACCACGCATTAATTAGTGCATGCACAATACTCAAGATCGGGGTTATGGTTTCTCGAGTTTTCAACGTCCAAATCACCAAAAAACTTCTCAAAAACTTAAATAAAGTTGTTTAGAACATTTCTTAACCATTAAAACACGTTAAAACAACCACGATCAAAGTCAATGTATTGTACCTCACACCGGAGCTTCTAGTTCTTCGAGTTCCTATGAACTTCTCCTCGAACTAAGGGTACCATTCGACTCGTGGAGTTATCAGGAAGACGATGGTGACTTTAAATTCCTCGATATATAAATGGTAGCTGGTGTTTGGGAGTTGTCCGTACGAGAAGGGAGAGAGAGAGAGAACCGAGAGGGAGAGTACGGGAGTGAGAGAGAGAAGGTGATGTGGATGTGTGTGTGTGGTCTAGAATTGGTCAACAACCCAAAATACACAATATACCTAATCCTAATTGGTCCAAAACAATTAGGATTTGAGAATAATGATCCATACGTACACTTAGACCACATCACACAATTTAACGTCCATGGGTATTTCCGTCATTTCACATCATCAAGAATAAAATAATACACATCTCCGGGATGGGCTGTGACAATTTCCGTCAATTCCTTAGTAATATTAAATTTCTTCATCCAAACTATGTTTCTACATGTTTCTCACCATCCTTCATCCACAATTCTATTACTCTTATGTCTTTCATGTCTTTCTCCGCTATCTCTAACACAAAATGACAAGAACGAAATGGTTATCAAACGAGTCTTTAGGTGGCATGGTTTTCATTCGAATCAGTAGCAAATGATTTTGGTTCGTCTCTCATCATCCTTTTTGCCTCGATGAGTTCTTCCTTCCTCTAGTTCTTATTTATCTCAATTCTAACCATCTTGTTCGCTCAATACTTCTCTCACTTTCGACCGGTGACATAATTTAGAATCTTTGAGCCAGATGGTGGTCTTGAGTTTGTTGTGTTTTGTAGTATCTCTAGAGGAGTTTTTTCAGTGTGCTTTTCAGGGCTCTTGGTCTTTTTATTGGTTGTGAATCTCTGACTGAATCTTAGGATTTTGCCCCTCTCGTGAAATTTCTCATGGTTCACTTTTATGGGCTTGCTCTGTCAAGCTTTGGAATTTCCCATGTCCCATTGCCCTTGGATATGTTCAAGTCGAAAATTACTCAGACTAAAACTATTGGCAAGCAATACATATAATTGAGATAGGTCATTTACTTTTGCACTCAAGATCCTTACATGTACCATCTAACCGGCTAGAATAAGGGGGAAGGGCTGAGGGGGTCGTTTAAGAGTCGTTAAATGTGTCTAGTGATTTATATCAAATATTGACTTCATGTGGAATCGAGTTGAAATTATCCATTACAAGAATTAAAGCCCCAAAGAGCTCATAGAGAAAGTGAAATAACCGAAGAGCTTCATATCCGATTGAATAAGAAAGCAAAAGATCAAACAAGAAGAAAACAATCCCCAAAATATATATAACTTGGTCCACATATATATCTTCTTCTAGATCTCTCCCAAACAAATATAAATTCCTTCAAAATCAACCTTCAAATCCCACTCTTGATGACTAAGGCCTTCTGAAATTTCATTATCTACTAAAGAGCTCATAGAGAGAGTAGAACTTGATTCGTTGTAATTAGAACACAATAATGATATAAATTCACTTCATTCATATTCTTAGTCTATGTTGTTAGTAAACAATTTAGTGGCATGAGTTTTCCCATACCAACTTCTTACTTTTCCTATTCCTAGGCTATCTGATCACTTACTTCTCATTAAAACTTACTTTAAGTAAACATGCCCTTAATGAAACAAACCAACCTAAATCTACAAATACAAGAAAGTCTAAATATTGTTTTATGCTAAAAGCTAACTTAAGAGATAACCTAGAAAATAAAATGTGATTATGAAATTGTCATAATGCATTCATATTTTGTCCTTCTCCAACATAAACAACCATAAAAAGAAGACAAAAAAAAAATGATATTGCATCAACGAAGAAAGAATAAGCCTTCACATATCTCCTATGATAAAGACTAACTTGCACAACAATTGATGATACAATATAAAGGAATGTTAACAATCATTAAACAGTCTACCTTCTTTAACTCTCATTCCAACCTTATTGTGTTGCACCATGTTCTTAACTATTTTCTTTATTTTCTGAGATACCCTTTAAAGATTAAAATGGACCAAATCCAACAAAATCAATGTAGTAAAAAATCAAAAATTAAAAACTAAAAACTAAACACGACATGTCGTTGTATAGAGACTGCAAACACGTGGTCATGGAATTGTTTTGAGCCGCTAAGATCGATGTAGCCAATCTCTTGAGTTTAATTCGAAGCTCGAGCACAGACGTCCGAAGCAATACAAGGACTCCACCCTCCACTCTCTCCGCTCTCACTCCCAGGCTTCGCTAGGGCTAGGCTAGGGTTTCTGAGAATTGGAATTGTAATTGGAATTGGGGTACAGAAACAGCAGCAGCAGCAGCAGCTGCAGAAGAATATGGCATCCACCTCCTTTGCACTCTCAGCTCTCTCAATATCACCCTCTTCTACCTCTCAACCCCACAGAAACCCTAGCGCCTACTCTTCTCCCTCCCTTCCCCGCCATCTTCCCCCCTACAACCTATCTACCACTTTTCTCGGCTCAAGGCTTTCCATTCGAATTCCGAATCTAAAGCACATGGCTTCCAAGCCTCGGACGGCCGTCGCCACCGTCCTCTTCAGCCTCCCAACAGCGTAAGTCTTCATCTCCCAAGTGGTGGTTTTGTAATTGTACCTAGATTAAAGCCCAGCCCATCTTAGTGGTACTGTACTGATTGTTTTGTTTTGCAGGAAGCCCGACAGGATTTCTACTGGGAAAAACTCCAAGTGAGTATATTAGTTTCATTTAATTGCATTTCTTGTGTTTCTTCTTTCTTGTGCGTGCCTGTATGTTTCCATGTGAATGTGAGTAGTGAGTTATTTATTGAATTTTGGTGTTTAGATGGTCCGCCAGAGCGATAAAGTCGTTTGCTATGGCTGAATTGGAAGCAAGGAAGCTTAAATATCCCAATACAGGGACCGAAGCACTTCTCATGGGGATTTTGGTTGAGGGTTAGTCAGCTTCTTTCGAGCTCATTCTCGTCCTTATTTGTGCTTCCATGTTTTTTTATTTTTTATTGATTTTTTGTTATGAAATGTTAAAACGCTGGTAATTGCCCTGCCTTCATAAAAGTGGCTCCTTTTGTAGATAACAAAACGGTTCTGTGTAACTAATATGTTTGCTAAGAGAAAGTGTGCCTGCACTTTAGCATTTCGAGAAGTATGAATGGCTTTGAACTTGTCACTGATGATTTTATGATTTTATGATGCTGCATCTTGGGTTTATGGAAAAACCACAGAGGAAACAATATTTGTATTTTCTGTCTAGGGAGTTGATTTTCCCACACCCTTTTTAGCCTCCCGCAAACCCCTCTTTGTTTCTAACCATGATATTGAATCAGTTAAACTGAAACAACGAACATGATTAAATAGGGTTGTGTAGGAAGGGATAAAAGGGTGTGTGTTTATCGTTTCCCTTTTTGAAAAGTGGTATGTTTGAAGTCTTTATTATGGTTCTTGTTATCTTTACAGAAACCAAGAGAGGAAAGCTTGCTCATTTTCAAATCATAAACAAAGAGATTGACTTTTGATACTGTTCTCAGTCTTATTTCTACTTGATCTTTAACATTAACCTTTATCTGGATGAGCTTTGGTTCACTGGATCATAAGTTGTTTATTTCAAGAATCTTACCATGCTAAAGACTCACCTAGCAGCTCCTTCAGTGGCTTCCATGTGCCCTCGCCTCTTTGTCATCATTTGTTTAGTGTTCTTTATTTTTTGTTTGTGTTCATGTTAATCAGATATATTACTTTTGACTTCAGGAACGAGCCTAGCTGCAAAGTTTCTTAGAGCTAATGGAATTACGCTCTTCAAGGTTCGAGATGAAACTGTAAATTTACTTGGAAAATCAGACATGTACTATTTCAGCCCTGAGCATCCTCCATTAACTGAACCAGCTCAGAGGGCCCTTGACTGGGCTTTTGATCAGAAACTAAAATCAGGTTGGTAAATTTAGGTTCAGAAAATCTAGTGATGGTGATTTTGTGGTTCTTTGAAATCTAGGATTGTCATCAGTTTCCACCTTTCCCGTGTAGACATGTATGCTCCATGCATAATTGTTTGGTTGGCTAGGGCATTTTTATCCTCACTTGTTATTGAGATTGTCTTCTCTGATACAGGAGAAAATGGGGAAATAACAGTAACTCATCTGCTTCTTGGGATTTGGTCTGAAAAAGAGTCAGCAGGTCACAAGATCTTGGCGTCCCTAGGTTTTGATGATGATAAAGCTACAGAGCTTTCCAAATTTGTAAGTTTTAAGCTGGATTTTCTTCTTGAGTAGTTTTTGTTTAACGACTGCTAATATGGCTATTGTTTCATACAGATGGATAAGGATTATGATCGTAGCTTTAAATAAGGTATAAGGAGGCAAAAACGCCCCATTCTTCAAACAATTGCTTGCTGTCAAACCTTCTCCTACGCAGCCTCCAAAAGATATCGCTTCCTGGTGCTTTTGGTTCAGGAAGTTCTTCTGCATATGGTGTGTTTCAGGATGGGGATTCGCAAACAATTCTGGAATTCAAAAATTCCACGCAGCCCTTGCTACTCGTGGCCCCATTTTAAACAATCTTTTTTATATGTACCATAACTTCCCATACGACAACATACTTAGGACTTGTCAAGTTAGCTAAATCAGTGTGTTTCATTATCTACACTTAAGTTTGAATTTCATTGTCCGTCCTTTAAATAAATTTAGTGTAATATTTTTACCGCTTGCATTTAAACCTCCCAAGGGGAGCCAATTAGTAATTTGAGCATGCAATCAATAATGTAGGAGAGGAAAAAGAGTGCAAAAACTATTTTTCTAATTATACCATGTGTTTTGCACATAGTCCACATGCATGGTAATAAAACCAACAAATGTCATTGCATGAGTAATTTTGTCACTAGGTGTAAATCTCAGGTGCAAATTTTTGGTGGAGTTTAAACGAAAATCGTGATGTTGGCTTTGACGTTCTGGTGGAGCTTGATTCTCCTCCTCCTCCTCCTCCTTGTGCGCGGCTGTTTATGCCTTTAATTCCTTTTTTCTCTTTTCGCTTTTCCTTTTTCTTTTGCTTTTATCTTAATTTCAACCATGATCGATAGGCTGACAACTAAGCATTTGAAAAAAAAGGGAAACCAAAGTGCATACTCGCAGCGAAGAACCGGTAGATCAAAATTCCTACCAAGGTGCTCATGGACTCACTTTTTTCATAAAAGAATCTGCAAAATTAATTTTTCTAAAAAAGAAGAGAAAATATACTTTGTATAAAAGTAGGAGCCCTCTAAAGAGGAGAATTTGCTAGTGCCTAGTGGCCAAGATAAAAAAAAAACATTATCATCTGCCCTTGTATAGTGTATATGCTTTTAGCTACCACAAAAAAAATACTCACTGAGCATAGGGAATCCCACTTAGTGCTTCATCATTTTACATGTTATCATAAGGATGGACGATATTAAATGTGGTCAACAAAAGTCATCAAGTGGTGTGCCAATCTACATGTTATAGCAAATGTGAACAACATGTTCCACATCTGGTATATTTTATTAAAAAACTAAATTCACGTGGTACAATTAGTATCATTGGAACGCCAAGCGACCAAGTGGTTACTACCGCAAGTGCTACCACAAAAAATAACCCACCTTGTTGGCTGTAGTTGCAATCTCCCAACCCCTCTGATTGTCACCACCGCTTGCACCAAATGACAACCCCCAAAAATTTACTTCTTGTCTTGAAGGCTCGACCAGCAACCCTATCGCCGCCACCACCATGAGAATCTGTCACATCAGTTTTCTTCTTCTGGATCTAGAACTAAGAGCTCGTTTGAACGTGCTTTTAAAGTAACTGAAAACGCTTTTGGTGAAAATATTTTTAAAACCAATCATTAGTAAAAATAAAAGTAAATTCTGAAAAAGCACTTAAAGTGCTTCCTGGAAGAAGCACATAACTGTGTTTCTTGCATAAAGCACTTTAAGTGCTTTTGGAACAAAAAAACATTTTCTCTAAAAACGATTTCAGTCATTTTAAAAATACATTCAAACAAGTCATAAATCACCATGATCTAAAAAATTAAGCTCTTTGTTTTCCTTTCTTATTTGATTTATCAAATTTTTTTATTATATCAATTAAGAGCTGAATACCAATTTCATGATTTTAGAGAGAAAATTTATGAAAACTTTCAGATTTTCTGGGTTAATGAGCAGCGGGGTGAAGAAGAGAGAGAGAACTTATTAATTTAAGGGTAATGTTTGGGAGATTAAATGTGTAAACCAAATTTGCAAACTAAATTATGTGTCACTAATAATAAATAAGCATGTTAATCAACACTTAACTAATAATCTAACCATCAATTTCTATGTCATTTAGTTTACAAAATTTAGTCTATACATTTAGTCTTCTTAGCATTACCGTTAATTTAATTACAATTTTTTTTAAATGAATTAATGGGGAACTATACAACATTTACTCTTGGAGTGAGAAATCGACATGCCTAATGTGTCCAGCAGCTAGACTTGGTTTTTTTTTTTTGTTTTTTTTTTTTTTTTTGGAAACTGGAAATATATTACCAGGGAAAAGGTGTCAGAGAGCTACAAAGAAAGCCTACACCGAGACCAACAAGCAACAAGGCAACAAAAAACAAAGCAACGAAGGGGATAGGGAGAAAGATACTAGATCCAAGTTCAAGCGTTCCCCCTTCGACTGCCACAATAGATCAAGGGGGACAAGGTAAACCATCGTTATTAAGTACATGAACCAACGAAGATGGAAGTTTGTTAACCCAAGTGATATTGAACATCTCTGTGTTGCTTCGCGACGCCAAAGTATCCACCACCATATTGGCTGATCTTGGAACCCAAGACCAGCGACAGCCCTGAAAAGACTCCCCTATCCGTTTAATTGTCGCTAAGGTAGGAAAGGTCTCCCATCTGCCATTTTCCAACGAAGTTTATAAGGATGAAATCGAATCCTTCGAATCAGATTCAATGATTACCCAACGGTGTCCCAAAGCAGCAGCCAATTCACATCCTCGCAAAATAGCCAAAGCTTCGGTCGTGGCTGCATTTGGAGCCTGGACCACATACCTTGCGGCAGCCACAAACATACCCATCATACCCCTAATCACAATCCCCACAAAACCATTCCACAATGATACCGTCCAGCAAGCATCAGCATTAACTTTCAGGAAACGGGATGAAGCCAAGTAGCAATGGAATGAAACCAATCCACCCATGAAGTAATCCCAAGTCTATCAACTTTGTAATTGAGAATTCCACCAAACCAGATAGTCTCCACCCAAGGGCATAATAAGAGGAGATGTTCAATAGATTCCTCTTGACTATTACATATCAGACATTTCGGTGATGGGGCTGATTTTCGTATAAAAAGATTCTCCATCGTAGCCAGGACACGATGAGCAATTCGCCACATAAATTTACGAAGTTTTGGCAGGGTTTTCAACTTCCAAATAATTTTCCAAATCTATCTCAATAGAGAGCGGGGAGATTGGGGCCGTTGATCCACCAGGGAACCCTGCAGAGACCTTGCCCAGTGATACCCAGACTTAACCACATACAACCCATTCTTGGTGGACGGCCAAACAAGTCGATCATTCCTCCTAGGATCCCCAATGTGTGTAACCAATATAACATCCTTTTCCTCCACCGACAAGAACGGTTGAAGGAAACTTATGTCCCAAGAACGGAAAGTAAGACTGATAAGGGGCATCACCTTAGTATCTCTAATCACCGACACCTCCCCACTAGCCATTGGATGACCCAACGGAAGGGAGGGAAGCCACATATCCACCCATAAACGAACATTACACCCATCTATGATTTTCCGGTGCGACCTATTCATCAACAGATCCCTACCTACCAGAAAACTGGTCCAAGCCAAGAGGCCTTACTCCCCTGTTGAGCATCAAAGAAAGAACAATGCGGAAAATATCTAGCTTTGAGGACCAATACCCATAGAGAGTTTGGGTTAGAATCAGCCTCTAACACTGCTTAGCAAGTAAGGCATCATTAAAATCATTAAAGTTCCTGAACCTCATACCCCTATCTTGCTTTGAGAGACCCAAAGTGTTTTTAGACACCTAATGAATTTTTCGCTCATCACCAACTGTTTCCCACCAAAACTCAGAGATTAGAGAGTCCAACTCATTGCACACCGCCGCCGGGAACTTAAATAAATTCATAAGGTATGCTAGAATCGCTTGAGCAACCGCTTTAATTAATACCTCTTTGCCCTCTTGAGAGAGAATGTTTTGCTTCCACCCTTGTAGTTTCCGCAAAATCCTACCTTTAACATAAGCAAGACCTTGCCACTTTGATCTTCCCCACATAGTAGGAACACCAAGGTATGTTCCCGGAGCGGAAACCACAAGCATATTAAGAACTTGTCCCAGCTCCATCGACACTGCCATCGGCATATTGGCACCAAAGAAAACGCACGATTTTTGTAGATTTACTACTTGGCCCAAAGCCACACAATAGTCTTCAATGATTTTGACCAGATTGCAACAGTTCATTCTAGTGGCCTTCAAAAATATAAATGTGTCATCAGCAAAGAAAATATGGGATATTACCGGACCATGCGGCTTCATCTTCACCCCTTCCAAATGCTTTCACTCCACCGTCGATTAAAGCATCCTAGAAAGAACATCACTGACCAATAGGAACAAATAAGGAGATAAAGGATCCCCTTGTCATAAACCTTTTAAATGAGCAAACTTGTTGCCCGGTTGCCCATTAAGAATTACCGCAAAGTTAACCAAGCTCACACAACCCATGATAAGTTTCCGCCAACTAGAATTAAACCCATCTTCTCCATAACAACATCAAGGAAATCCCACTTCATATGATCATATGCTTTATGTATATCCAGCTTAATGCCAAGCTCAAACTTACATCTTGTTTTCCTTAGTTAAAGGAAATGGAATAGTTCGTGAGTAATCCCTACATTATCTTGAATTTGTTGTGAGAAAGATGCTTGATGATGGAGCGAACTATTTATGTGGAGGAGGAATTACAGGACATCCCAGTTGAGTATTAGGATATGTGGGAGTTCATGGAGGAGGTTTCTGAGCATGAGAGGGATGCATTGTTGGCCTGAAAAGAAGGAAAGTCTTCCCAAGGTGGTGGCGGCCGGCCTTCCACAGAAATTCACCATGATTTACATCTTTTGGAACTACTGTGGTCTTTGATCGGACATGGTAGTTTAAGCCTTTCATGGGCTTATTCAGAAATATAGGCCCTCTATGATTTTCTATCGGAAACTAAGATGAAGGATCATAGAATTGATGGTGTGAGAAGATGAATGGGGTTCAAGGACGGTTTCAATATTTCCCCAATTGGTAAGTCTGGTGGATTGAGCTTATGGTGGGATAACCAATTGGAAGTTGACATCAGTTTTTCTTCAAAACATGTTATTGATGCTTGGGTGTGAACGGTAGGGGAGTCTCGATGAGAGTGACAGGGGTCTACGGCACTGCTTATCGGGGGGGGGGGGGGAGGGGGAGAAAGCACTGCTTTGGGATTGGATGAATACTCATTTCAACCCCTCTAGTATTCCTTAGCTGTGTGGCGGCGATTTCAATGAGTTTATTTAGGATTACGAGAAATCTAGTGGAACAATTGTTTTGTTTAATAGGCTCCAATATCTGGCAAATTTTATGAACACGGTGGAGTTGGTTGATCTCGACTTCAATGGACCCTCCTTCACTTAGAGATGTACTAG